GTACTAAGGGAGTGATACATTTTTTTATTTGTCTGTGAAATACAGCAGCAGTAATGGGGATGAGAAGAAGAAGGAAAAGGAGGTATATCAAGTTGTTTGATTTTCCCGATGAAGTTCCCTATGTTGTCGGTGGGGTCAATGTTGTCGACGCTCCCGATGTTGTGGGTATTCCCGATGTTCACATATCAATCCAAAGAGTCCAGAATTCCCAAAACCAGAACCGTTTGTGTTATCTTATCGGCTACTATCACCAGAATCATATTCCCCTGAATCAGAAGGAGAATTTTTCTCCGAGATGGACACAGGCTATATCCCCTTTGAAGGTAGTGGAATCAGATTTTACAAATCACCTGGTGAGTTAGTACTTCCTCCGTATACAAAAACTTCGTGACATTTTTTGAACGGTGGTTTTGAGCAAGAACCTGCTCAAAGGACGGTGCCAAAGGCTGTCATCGACAACCCTAGTCCATGTCGAGGTTAGTTTGGTTGATCCCGAACAGATTCTCCACGGGCGCCAGCGTGTGAGGACGTTGCCGAAAGAAACTCAAGAGTCAAATGCCAAAAAAACTAACACTTACTTGCTCGAAACTAACACAGTGGCGAAGTGTAGCTCGTGGCTGGAACACGGAGTCGAGTCACGCGGCGCTCGCTGCCCTGAAACTGGCCAGGTTCGTACTTGCGGTGCGCGGCCCCATAGATCTACGCAGCGTGAGAACATAGATTTGTTTCACTCGCACGGCAAGATGAAACATTTCAGTCGTCGTGCAACCAGCGCAGACTCAGGATCAGAATGTCGATGGCCTGGCTTTCTTCGCCTCTCTCCAGTCAGACGTCTCTTTTGTCGCCAAAGGGAATTAATTGCAAGGACCTCCTCGAAGCCATTGTATAATGCTTGGGAGGTTTATCCTGGCGAGAAAATGCGAAGCGTGTGGCTGTGCTTGTACGACTCGTTTCACGGCATAATGGAGGTTGCGGGTTGGAACGACTGAATATAGTCGACACCGATTCGTACACAGCTCTAGAGATGAAGAGGACATAGCCAAAGTCCAGCATCGGATCATCACTAAAGGTGACAAGAATCTGAACGAAATGCGAGCGGAAGCAGCGACTGTTGGCGATGCAGAGTCAGCGCCGTCAGGTGACAATGACCCGAGCGACAAAGACTCTGAAAAAACTCAATCTCATTCGTCTGAGTTGCTTTTTTCTTTGTATATAGCTTGTAAACCGGTTAGACAATGCCACGAGTGTTATTCCGAGTCAAACGGAACAATTCCAGAGCTGTGCGCAGCTTTAAAAAAAAGTCACGAAGTTTTTGTATACGAAGGAAGTAGAAAAACTGGGCTTACTTTGCGCCTCCCGAGAGGCAGGAAATACATCAAAGCAAGTCATTAGCGAACTAGTGGAGATCTTGGACCGTGTGTTGAAATAACATAATGAGGGGAAGGTGAGCGCAATGTTATGTTATGTTACCTTTATTTTACTTCACCATAGGTACAGGCATTGCTGCCTTCTTGCTGTGGATCATAAATAATGCCACAGCTCCTAGGCTACGCTGAAAAATATAATAGTATGATAGATTAAAATGATCAAATATGAACAGCATGGGAAGCAATAAGATGTCATGACTGTCAGCAAGACAATTATAAAAATACCATGCAGCAGTGTATTTTATGTGTGTTGTGGTTGTACATGTAGATAATATTGATGATGGACAGGGGACAGAACGTACTCGTGTGTCAATAGCTAATGGAGTGAAGTGAGATCAAGATCTGAAAGAGATTTTTTGAAATGAACAAGGTTTGTTAGAGAGCGGGTAGCATCGGGTAGAGAGTTCCATGTGGTGCTGCCCAGAAATTGGATAGAACATCTCCCAGCAGGATTGGGTAGGAATGGGATGCGAAGTAAATTATGCAGCTGCCCACGGGCGACTATACGATCAGCAAGTGGTATCTGAGGCTGGGCAAGTAATACAAAATAATCTTGAAAAAGAGAGCTTGCAGATCCGTGTATAGACCGGAAAACAAATACAAGCAGCTTCTGTAAAAGGACTTGGTGAAGTGATGGCATGGATAACTTAGCAAGCAAGGGAGCTGTTGCAGTGCGGTGGGGAGCCTGAAACACAGCACGAATACCAAACTTATGCAGTTTTACAAGGCAATTTAGCAGAGACCGTAAAAGCGCAGGAAAGAAGCAATTAGAGGCGTAACAGAGATGAGATACTCAAGTAGTACCATAGACATATACCACATTCGACGTGCTTTTAGTGACAAGGCCCGGCCATGCCTCCAAAGCTGTCCATTGGTCGCCGCCAATTTTTTCGCCAGAAACTCGATGTGGGGTTCCCAAGTTAGCTGGTCATCAATCAACACACCGAGGTATTTTGCAACGTGTGTGACTTGCAGAACACTGTTGTTGCAGGTGACGAGTGACGGAGCAGCGTCAAACGCACCTCTGGGACGAATAAACATCACTTGAGTCTTAGCTGAATTCAATAGGAAACCTTTGTCCTTAAGCCAGAACGAAAGATTGGTGACTGCTGTCGTGAGCACAGCACAAACAACAGCAGGGTCACGGTCGGAGTAATCAACAACGTTATCATCTGCAAACTCTTGATTGCAAACTTCATGTGGAAGCACAAACGCTATATCACTGATGTAGAGAACAAATAAGAGAGGTCCAAGTACACTTCCTTGAGGAACACCTCTGGAGCATGGAACTGGCGTTGAAATCTGGTCTTGGATTTTGACACGCTGTTGACGTTCGGACAGGTATAAACAAAACCACTGCAGCACCACACCACCAAGCCCAAACTCAAAGAGGACTTGAATAAGCTGGCGATGGTCAACCACGATAAGCACGAGCTGGAAGTCTCAGCCTCCACAAGGCGGCCGCGAAAGGACGAGATGGTGGGGCGCTCTGGCGGTACTTTACGGTACTAGTATATTATTTCCTTTGTTCTCATTTTGTTCTTTAGTACAACGGTGGTTCCTGAAGAGCGTTGTACGAAAACTTGTTCGAATCATCTTTTTCCATCGCTTTTTTCTTCTTACATGTATTTGTCCTTACCCTTTAGATTGTTTTTGCATCGTCTCCATCGCGTACATTGTTAATAAAGTAATCAAAATGTCACTTGAGCTCGTCCTACTTATTGCCATATTAAAATTGTTGTCTCCTCGTCGAATATTTAAATGGATTAAAATGCACTAATTTGTTGATGCCATCTTCTACCACTAAAATGCAATACAACATATACTGGAGAAGAAATCAGGAAAAGGCACGTGTAATTTGGAATGACAATTTTTATTATTTGCCATGGCGACCCCCGTGAGTCCACATAACTGGCAAGGCAGGTTTGGGCCTTTTTCTATTAAATGGCGTCATTTGGACCATGATCGCCTACCTGAAGTCGGTGTTGACTGAATCGATCATTATATGATCGATTCGCGAACACACCGTGCATAAAGGGTTAAATAATAGTTCCGATTCCAAACAAATAATAATTACATAGTGCTAAGGGCACATTAAACCTAGTTCACATTCGACGGGGCGTGACGTAAGGATCGACGTAAGGATAGACGGGAAGCGATGGGACAGTCTGACGGTGTCCAATGTGAACACCAGGAACGGGAACTCAACCGTACTGCCGTACGGATCGGGAAGCGATGGGAAGAGTTGGATCGATCCAACTTTTCGTACAGTAGACGGGCGTAGACGGGGACGCAAGCGGACAAAACAGCTGCATTTTGAGTGTGAACAGGAGACGGCGTCGTGCGACGACTACTCCCGATTCGTACTTGGAAATTTTTAACATTTCGAACACTGCGCTTCCCATGACAACTCGTAGAATGGCTAACAGGACTTGAGTTGAATTTTAGCAAGATAAGGTCTGATGTCACTATTTAGGTATAGTTCAGGAGCGTGACAGACAAATTGTTTTATCATTTACTAAAGCTATTATTTGAATGGCACACCTTTCGAAGCTACTTTTTTGGTGTTCATAAAAAATGGTATTGTGTATTTGATTCCGTTTCATTGAAGGAGAAATAATTGAAATTGAAGAAATGACCGTGCCTTATGACTGGCGCCTTTCGCTGTTGAACGACGCAACGACTGCAGCATGTTGTGTTGTACGAATCGTACAAGAATTTACAGCTCACCCCAGCCTTTTTATTATTATTTTATTTCTTAGTGTTTATTTGAATTCGGATAGCTCAACAGTACAGAAGTTCAACTACAAAGAGTACTGAATAGAAGGCCCCGAGAACGGGAAACCAAAAAACAAAACAAAAACAGCAACAGCAATTTACTGATTATGCACATTGCTTGAAAGCAAATCACAATGATTAAGAGTTCAGGAAATCTGCGATAGTAGTGCAGGACTTCAGGGCATCTGGTAAATAATTCCAAACAAGAGCCGATTTACTTGAAAAGGACTGAAAGCCAGACATATATCTATAGCGATTGATACTCATGTTATGAGTTGTTGAGCCGCGAGTAGTTCGGGTAGACGTACAGATGGGAAAGAGGGACTGCAAGCAAACAGCCGGCTTAATACAGTAACAGTGGAAAATGAATACAAGGAACAAAAATACTGATCGATATTGGAAAGAGGAAACATTGAGGTGGTGAAGCCTTCCCGACAGGCCCTTACGTTCCGTACCATCTGCGTTCCGTCGAATGTGAACTAGGCTTAACCCCCCCCCCCCCCCCGGGGGTTCAGTGATTGTGTGACTTATCCGCTTACCACACCGTTAGGCGCTGCATCTGCCGCTAGGGTTTACCGGCTGTTAGCGGCCGTCGAGAACTGACAAGATAATTAATTTTTTTACTTTAATAGTAAATGAGAACAAGTGTGGGAAGCCAAATAAATTTTGCTGAGCATACTGCCCTTGACCCACTGAACACAAATTTGACAAAAGCGAAATGCTGACATCCCCCCCCCCCCCCCCCTCCATCCAACACACAGCACAAGAAACTCATCAATATTCTAGCAAGCCCATGCACCAATCATAACGACAGACCAAAAGGAGAGCAAAATGATCATTGCTAAGATGCAGATGAACAGATGTGCAGATGTGCGAGTGGGCAGGCGTCGGGAGTAAAGAGTCTACAAAAGCATTGATATGAAAATTTCACATAAAAGGTAAAACGTAAGACGTGAGAATGTGGATGGCATTGTCAGCACACCAAGTCTCTCCAACAGGCTAGGAAGACTCAACCCTAGGCAACAGTACGTAGTTTTTAGTTTTGACATCCACGTGTACATGATTGTTTTTGAGTTTTGTCCGTACAAGAGGTCTCTCTTTCAAAAAAAAGAAATACAAAAGTAGTAGCGTAGTATATTAGTGTAAATAGAGAACTGTAGAAGCAAACATTTCCAGAACACAACCTGACATAAAGTTGGCGAAAGCAGTTTTTAATTTTTGCTGTCGCATCGGCGACCAGTCCAACCTGATGCACACACGCAGAAGTAGTCTCCAAACACATCGTGGCAGATTCCGGAATTCTGGCAAGGAGCCTGCAAGCATTCGTTGACATTGATCTCACAGCGGTGTCCACCCCACTCAGCGGCACAGCCACACTCATAGCTACCGTCTGTATCCTTACATACACCATCATGCACACAGGGACTGCTAACTTGACATTCATTGATGTCTGTCTGGCATGATGAGCCCGTCCATCCTGGCAAACATTGACATCTGAAGCTACCATAGGTATCCTCACAAGTCCCACCATTCAGACATTTCTTGCTGCTGCTGCTGCTGCTACTCTTTGTAGCACATTCATTAACATTCAGAGTACAGATAGTGCCAGCCCAACCTGGTGCACAGTTGCACGTGTAACTTCCATTATTGTTCTGGCATGTAGCTCCATTGTAACATGGTGCTGAAACGCATTCATTGATATCAACATTACACAAACGACCCGTCCAACCGGATTCACATACACAAGTGTAATTTCCAACGCTATCACGACATCTCCCATGATCACAGGGTGTAGAGAGGCATTCATTGACATTGATATCACAGCGAAGGCCTGCCCATCCTTCAGGGCAGTCACAGGTGAAACTTACATCGGTGTCCTTGCACTTTACCAAGTTCAGACATGGGTTTTTTAAACATTCATTGATGTTATCAGTACAGTTGATGCCCGTCCATCCAATGGGACATCGGCAGTAGTAACTGCCAATTGTATCGATACAAGTACCACCGTATTTGCATGGACTGGTGGAACACTCATTTAGGTTGTCTTTGCAGAATTCTCCCAAATAGCCAGTGGAACACTTGCATACAAAGCTACCATCGGTGTTCAAGCATTCGGCCAAGTTTGAACATGGCTTACGGGTACATTCATTGATGTCCATGTCACATAAATCACCCGACCAACCGTCGAAACAGTCGCAAGAAAATGATCCAGGAGAATCTAAACAAATACCTCTCGTTCCACATGGGCTGTGTAAGCATTCATTTACGTTGAACTGGCACCGCTTTCCAGACCATCCATTGCCACAATCACAGGAAAAACCACCATCAGTGTTCTTGCACGTAGCTTCATTTTTACATGGCCTTGTCAAGCATTCGTCAATATCAGAGTCACAGTTGTCTCCTGTCCAGCCGTGTGCACAGGTGCATGTATAGTTGCCAGGTATATTAAAGCAAGTGCCACCATTCTGACATGGTGTCTTACCAGCACATTCATTGACGTCCACTTCGCAGTCTCCTGTCCAGCCTGGAGCACACTTGCAAGTGAAACCTCCATCTGTGTCTGTGCAGTTACCACCATTCTTGCATGCAGTTGTGTGGCGACATTCATTAATGTTTGTGGCACACTTAGACCCCGTCCACCCAGTGGCACAAACACAGAAGTAAGACCCAACAGTGTCAGTACAGACACCATCATTCTCACAGGGTTTGCTGACACATTCATCTGTATTTTGTGTGCATGTGTCACCTGTCCACCCAGCAAGACAAGAACAACTAAAATTTCCTGCGGTGTCCTGGCAAGTCCCGTCATTCTGGCAGGGTGAACGTAAGCATTCATTTTGGTCTTCTTCACAGTTTTGGCCTTCCCACCCACTGGCACAGTCGCACCTATAGCCACCAATAAGATTAGTACACTGCCCATCCTTTTGGCATGGTGCAGTGCTGCATTCATCTATGTCCACTGTACAGTTAGGACCGGTCCAGCCTGGTTTGCACACGCACGTGGCACTACGTCCCATGGCATGGCAGAATCCGCCATTTCTACATCGTGGCTGCTCCCAGTCCCTGAAACATTCATTTATGTAGTACTCACAGCTGTCACCAGCCCAGGGATGAGGACATTTACAGGTGTAGCTACCATCAATATCAAAGCAAATTCCATCATTAGCACAAGGATTTTTCGTGCTTGAGCATTCCTGGATAGTACTAGTACAACTCTGACCGGTCCATCCAGGTGAGCATTGACAGAAATAGCTGCCACTAGTATCTTGGCAGGTACCACCATTCTGACATAACTTAGCATTAGAACACTCATTCACGTTGTCCTGACAATGTGAGCCTTGCCATCCATCTTGGCAAGCACAAGAGTAGCTTCCAGGTTTTTCCTGGCATGTTCCATCATTTTTACAGAGGTTTAGCAAGCACTTTTGGACTTCGCTCTCGCAGTGCTGACCAGTCCATCCGGATGCACAGTCACATCTGTAAGTTCCGAGCAAATCCAAACACGTCCCTGCATTTTGGCAGAGGCCTGCTTCAAGACACTGGTCTTTGTCAATGTTGCAGAGTTGTCCAGTCCAACCCGGTCCACACGTACATTGAAAACTGCCGACAATGTTTGTACATGTTCCCCTATTGTGACAGGGCGTATCCTTACATTCATCGTGGTCAGCAGCACAACGACCACCTTGCCATCCTGGGTCACATGTGCACCTGTATGAACCCAATACATTTGTACATGCACCTCTATTATAGCAGATGTCAGGGTTACTACATTCATCCATGTCGGTTCTGCAGTCAGCACCTGTTTGTCCAGGTGGACATGTGCACGAGTAGCTGCCAGCTGTATCAACACATGATGCATTTTCTTGGCAAAGAAGTTGTTTGTACTTCTCAGCATTGGCACATTCGTCTATGTTAACCGTGCAGTTATAGCCCTCCCAGCCATTCAGACAGCTACAAGAGTAGCTTCCAGCAGTGTTGTGACAAGTTGCCCCATTAGCACACACATTATTCAGGCATTCATCAATGTTTTCATCACAATGTCGGCTTGTCCAACCTGCCGAACATGTGCACTTGTAACTACCGACAGGGCTGTTAGTACAAACTCCTGCATTCTGGCATGGCTTATCCTTGCATTCATCTGCTTCAACATTGCAAAGATCACCTATCCAGCCAGGCACACAGCTACATTCAAAGCCGCCTCCAAGTTCCTTACAAGTGCCACCATTCAAGCAGGGCTGTGCCTTACACTCTTTGACATCCTCATCACAGTTATGTCCTGTCCAGCCAGCTGTACACGTGCAAGTGTAGCTACCCAAGTTATTATGGCACTCTGCAGAGTTCTTGCACATTTGATTGGAACATTCATTGATATCATGTTGGCAAACATCTCCTGTAAACCCGGGGGCACAGCGGCAACTAAATGAGCCCTGTGAGTCTGAACAAGTGCTGCCATTTCTGCATATGTTAGCGTCACACTCGTTCACATTGTCTTCACACAAGTGACCAGTCCAGCCGTTGACACAGTTGCAGTAGTGAGCTCCAGGTAAGTCGACGCAGGTGCCATTATTTTTGCAAGGCGTATCGAGACATTCATTGATATTCTTCTCACAGTCGTGACCCGTCCAGCCGTTGACACAGTTGCAGTAGTGAGCTCCAGGTAAGTCGAAGCAGGTGCCATTATTTAAGCAAGGCGTATTTAGACATTCATTGATATTCGTCTCACAGTCGTGACCCGTCCAGCCGTTGACACAGTTGCAGTAATGAGCTCCAGGTAAGTCGACGCAGGTGCCATTATTTATGCAAGGCGTATTGAGACATTCATTGATATCCGTCTCACAGCCGTGACCCGTCCAGCCGTTGACACAGTTGCAGTAGTGAGCTCCAGGTAAGTCGAAGCAGGTGCCATTATTTAAGCAAGGCGTATCGAGACATTCATTGATATCCGTCTCACAGTCGTGACCCGTCCAGCCGGCAGAGCATGCACACCTATAGCTGGCTGGTGTATCAGTACAGTTCCCGGCATTTTTACACGGTGACCCCTCCGTGCATTCATTAATATTGTCTGGATGGAAACCTGTGATAAAGATAGAGATAGAGACAGAGACAGAGACAGAGAAATAGAAAGAGACACGGACAGAGACACAGAGACACAGACACCCAGAGACACAGGGAAACAGGGACACAGGGACACAGAGACATGGGGACACAGGGACACAGGGACATAGAGACATGGGGACATAGAGACACAGGGACACAGGGACACAGAGACACAGGGACACAGGGACACAGGGACATAGAGACACAGGGACATAGAGACATAGGGACACAGGGACACAGAGACACAGGGACATGGAGACACAGGGACATAGAGACACAGGGACACAGGGACACAGACAGAGACACAGAGATGCAGGGAGCCCCAAAGGAATGCAATGTAGCTACGTGAAGGCGATTCATCTGGCAATGTTGCTGAAGATGCAGATGACAAACTCCGTCGTCTTTCATTCAGAGCCGGGTGGGCAACACCGCCACCTTCGATACGACATAGTTTTCAAGTACGAGGTATGTGTGTCACACTAACCGCAAACAAACATCCTTCCACTCCTTCGCTTATATCCGAATACAGGCGCATGCTCCTATATTATAAGTGCGTTTCTACGGTTAGTACTAGCACATCAGGTGAATTTTCTCCGTGAAACCATTTCATCCGACTCTCTCTATCTCAGTATATGTGTCTGTGTGTGTGTCTTCGTCTAAGAGGCCGTTTCCAGGAGAAAAAAAATAAGCCTGGCCTTATTCAACCCCAGACTTATGATAAGCCCACCTTCATGTGTCACCCAGGCATTTTAGAGCGCGTGTTTACATGGTGAGGCTCGCCCGGAGCTGAACTAGCCCTACCCTGGACCCCGAGCCTTTTTAACCCCAGGGCTTATCAGCGGGTTTTCCGCATTTTTCGATTTTGCTTCGTAAACCGGAGAGGATGTCACCGAGGGCAACGCGTCTCCTTTGTTTCTTTCTTGACATTTCTTCTTCTGATTTTTCTTTCAGTGGAAGGTCCTAACCAATCCTTCAGCTTCTCGAAAAAATAAGTGACAATCGGAAGGCATTAGAAGCGTTTGTTTGGTTGTGATTTTTTGTTTTTCCTTCACCAAGTGAACAGGCATTTCTGCCTTCTCACCACGTCCGGAGACCTACTTCCGACAAAATGATGAAGAGTAAATGAAAATGTATGTATAAAATGATTAAAATCATGCGGAAGGTTATAATTATGAAAGCAGATAAAAATGATTGAATCCCAATTCGTGGAGCATGACTTGTATGGAGTATGGACACAGAGCATGCAGAAAATTAAAGTAAAAATGATGGGTAAGATGATTAATGTTTATGGACATAGTGGAAGATGAGTGCGGAAGGAGTGAAAAATCAAGCTTGGGTAGTATATAATATGACAGAGAGAACAAAAGAATAAAGGGGAAATGAGTGAGAGGGAGAGAGAATAAGAGAGAGAGAGGGAGAGAGAGAAAGAGAGAGAGAGAGAGAGAGAAAGTTACATTTATAAAGACAGGTAAGTTTAACAAATGAGGACAGAGACCTCTACAACAGGGCTTTTACGCCTGAAAGCAGGTGCATGATTTAACAAGCAGGTTGTCAGTCTAGATTTTATGCGCAGATGGAGAAAAAATGCGCAGAATTTTTGTAATGAGATGAAAAGCAGAAATAATAAGAAAAGATGAAATGAAAGCCTGCTCACAACCCGGCCCAGCCTTGCGAACTGGGTATGGTAGATAAAGAACCCGGTTCAACGCTCGAGCAAGCGCTCTCCACTCAAGGTGTTCACAGCAACTGATAGGAACTCATATGGGGAAATTATAGAAAAGAAATAATAAGATAAACAGAATAAATTTCACCGCACCTCAATAAACGGAGCCCCAAATTCAGTACCTCAGAAAAGTGGACCTTCCGATCAGTGTTTTTGTTGAGAGAGAGAGTGAGAAAGAGAGAGAGAGAGAAAGAGAGAGAGAAAGAGAGAGAGGGAGAGAGAGAAAAATAGAGAGAGAGAAATATAGAGAGAAGGAGAGAGAGAGAGAGAGAGAGAGAGAGAGAAGAGAGAGAGAGAGAGAGAGAGAGAGAGAGAGAGAGAGAGAGAGAGAGAGAGAGAGAGAGAGATAGAGACATAGAAATAGAGAGAGAGAAATAGAGAGAGAGAAATAGAGAGAGAGAGAGAGAGAGAGAGAGAGAGAGAGAGAGAGAGAGAGAGAGAGAGAGAGAGAGAGAGAGAGAGAGAGAGAAGAGAAAGAGAGAGAGAGGGAGGGAGGGAATGAGAGAGAGAGAAAATGAGAAAGATAGATAGATAGATAGATAGATAGATAGATAGATAGATAGATAGAGGAATGCAGGCATTCAAGGAAGGCGCCTAAAAGTCTCTCCGCAGTCGAGACTGGCACTCAGCGACAGATGCCCCCTGAACACTCCCTGAACACCCTCTCCGCTTGCACCCTGGCTCCCCCTTTATTATTATTATTATTATTATTGACTGATTTGAGGGAAAGAGACAAACGGGAAAAGTCTGAAGAAAAAATTGACTGTCACCACCAGGACTCGAACCAGGGACCCTCGCTTGTAGCCAGCGATGCTCTAACCACTGAGCTATGGTGTAGTCGTCATCCCAGCAGAGGCCGTTCAACATTTTCTTCAGACTTCGTAACTCACACTTCCTGTGAATCCACACAGGCGGGTGGGACGCAGCCCTCACTGTAACCCACACACTTCACGTACAAACTAGCACTCGGGGAGCCCCAAGTCATAAAATATTGACTGATTTGAGGGAAAGAGACAAACGGGAAAAGTCTGAAGAAAAAATTGACTGTCACCACCAGGACTCGAACCAGGGACCCTCGCTTGTAGCCAGCGATGCTCTAACCACTGAGCTATGGTGTAGTCGTCATCGCAGCAGAGGCCGTTCAACATTTTCTTCAGACTTCGTAACTCACATTTCCTGTGAATCCACACAGGCGGGTGGGACGCAGCCCTCACTGTAACCCACACACTTCACGTACAAACTAGCACGCGGGGAGCCCCAAGTCATAAAATATTGACTGATTTGAGGGAAAGAGACAAACGGGAAAAGTCTGAAGAAAAAATTGACTGTCACCACCAGGACTCGAACCAGGGACCCTCGCTTGTAGCCAGCGATGCTCTAACCACTGAGCTATGGTGTAGTCGTCATCCCAGCAGAGGCCGTTCAACATTTTCTTCAGACTTCGTAACTCACACTTCCAGTGAATCCACACAGGCGGGTGGGACGCAGCCCTCACTGTAACCCACACACTTCACGTACAAACTAGCACGCGGGGAGCCCCAAGTCATAAAATATTGACTGATTTGAGGGAAAGAGACAAACGGGAAAAGTCTGAAGAAAAAATTGACTGTCACCACCAAGACTATAACCAGGGACCCTCGCTTGTAGCCAGCGATGCTCTAACCACTGAGCTATGGTGTAGTCGTCATCCCAGCAGAGGCCGTTCAACATTTTCTTCAGACTTCGTAACTCACACTTCCCGTGAATCCACACAGGCGGGTGGGACGCAGCCCTCACTGTAACCCACACACTTCACGTACAAACTAGCACGCGGGGAGCCCCAAGTCATAAAATATTGACTGATTTGAGGGAAAGAGACAAATGGGAAAAGTCTGAAGAAAAAATTGACTGTCACCGCCAGGACTCGAACCAGGGACCCTCGCTTGTAGCCAGCGATGCTCTAACCACTGAGCTGTGGTGTAGTCGTCATCGCAGCAGAGGCCGTTCAACATTTTCTTCAGACTTCGTAACTCACATTTCCTGTGAATCCACACAGGCGGGTGGGACGCAGCCCTCACTGTAACCCACACACTTCACGTACAAACTAGCACGCGGGGAGCCCCAAGTCATAAAATATTGACTGATTTGAGGGAAAGAGACAAACGGGAAAAGTCTGAAGAAAAAATTGACTGTCACCACCAGGACTCGAACCAGGGACCCTCGCTTGTAGCCAGCGATGCTCTAACCACTGAGCTATGGTGTAGTCATCATCCCAGCAGAGGCCGTTCAACATTTTCTTCAGACTTCGTAACTCACACTTCCTGTGAATCCACACAGGCGGGTGGGACGCAGCCCTCACTGTAACCCACACACTTCACGTACAAACTAGCACGCGGGGAGCCCCAAGTCATAAAATATTGACTGATTTGAGGGAAAGAGACAAATGGGAAAAGTCTGAAGAAAAAATTGACTGTCACCGCCAGGACTCGAACCAGGGACCCTCGCTTGTAGCCAGCGATGCTCTAACCACTGAGCTATGGTGTAGTCGTCATCCCAGCAGAGGCCGTTCAACATTTTCTTCAGACTTCGTAACTCACACTTCCAGTGAATCCACACAGGCGGGTGGGACGCAGCCCTCACTGTAACCCACACACTTCACGTACAAACTAGCACGCGGGGAGCCCCAAGTCATATAATATTGACTGATTTGAGGGAAAGAGACAAACGGGAAAAGTCTGAAGAAAAAATTGACTGTCACCACCAAGACTTGAACCAGGGACCCTCGCTTGTAGCCAGCGATGCTCTAACCACTGAGCTATGGTGTAGTCGTCATCCCAGCAGAGGCCGTTCAACATTTTCTTCAGACTTCGTAACTCACACTTCCTGTAAATCCACACAGGCGGGTGGGACGCAGCCCTCACTGTAACCCACACACTTCACGTACAAACTAGCACGCGGGGAGCCCCAAGTCATAAAATATTGACTGATTTGAGGGAAAGAGACAAACGGGAAAAGTCTGAAGAAAAAATTGACTGTCACCACCAGGACTCGAACCAGGGACTCTCGCTTGTAGCCAGCGATGCTCTAACCACTGAGCTATGGTGTAGTCGTCATCCCAGCAGAGGCCGTTCAACATTTTCTTCAGACTTCGTAACTCACACTTCCTGTGAATCCACACAGGCGGGTGGGACGCAGCCCTCACTGTAACCCACACACTTCACGTACAAACTAGCACGCGGGGAGCCCCAAGTCATAAAATATTGACTGATTTGAGGGAAAGAGACAAATTATTATTATTATTTTTTAATAATTTTTTTTTTTTAATTTCTTTTTCAATTTTATTTATTTCTTCTTTACGAAGTCTGAAGAAAATGTTGAACAGTCTCTGCTGGGATGACGACTACACCATAGCTCAGTGGTTAGAGCATCGCTAGCTACAAGCGAGGGTCCTTGGTTCGAGTCCTGGTGGTGACAGTCAGTTTGTGCTTTCCCGTTTGTGCCTTTCCCTCAAACTAGTGAAAAATTTCTTCTCTTTCTTTTTTTACTCTATCATATGTATCATCTTTCCGTTTTCCTTCCTCTATATAAATGTACTCCCCCCCCCCCTGTGCCTACTCCTCCCTAGGTTTTGGTGCACTGAAGTGTCGCTGAAGCCGAGACCTCAGGTCGGCGGAGATGCTCCAGTTTCACCACCACAGTTGCGTCTGCAACCACCTCTATCATGCAGTATTCTGTTCTGGAGGTTCATGGTTTCTCGTAAAAAAAATAGATAGATGGATAGATGGATTGATGGATGAATGAATGGATGGATGGATTGATGGACGGATGGATGGATGGATAGATAGAGAGAGAGGGAGAGAGAAATAGAGAGAGAGATAGATAGATACACACAAATGGCACAATGGAGTTTTACAGATTTGTCGCAACTCGGAGTTTCTTGCTCAATGCAATCATCAGACGACTATTACATGCTCAGTGGGACTTAGCCAATATAAAGCATAGCCTAGCGATAGCTGGTTGGTGTTTGATTCAGCACAGAAAATATTTCCACGATGGCTGCTTAGGTGAGGGAGCTATTACAGTGCCGGGGTATTAGCGCAGAAAGTGTTTTTTTTATTTTTACTATGTTCACATACCCATCTCATAAATAATACAGAAAGACAATGGTACTGAGACAAGGACAAACATGACAACTACTGAGAAGGGGCTGCACCGAGATGCAGCAGTGATGGTGGGGCATTGATGGCTCTGGCGACCTGAGGTCTCGGCGTCACGGCCAGAAACAGGCACCAAAAACAAAAGATAGAGCTGTAATGGTCAGCAAAAAAATAGAAAGAAAGCAAGGGCAAACAGCAGGTAGTGCTAGTGTGCAGCGCATTCGTAGCAATGGGAGTCGTTGACGGGGCACTAGAATGTAGGTGGGTCGACAGGCAGAATGTTCGTGGACCATCGCCAATCCTGTCGGCGGAGGTATTCATTGACGTTGCACTTAAACTTTTGAAGATTTTTGCGAGTTGGGGCGGAGGCTAGAAAAGCTGGCGGCAGGGAATTCCACAGCTGGATTGCACAATGTGGGAAGCTGCGGAGAACGATGTCTGGTGCTTGAGACGGTAGGGGATTCCGTACCTGGTAACTGTGGCCGGCGGCCATGCGGAGATCGTTTCGAGTGCGAGTGGCGTCACGGGGCTCAAGCCTTGGTGGGAGGACTGCTAGCAATTGAGTCGGACCGGTGATGAAATGCAGTTTGTACGTGTACTTGGTCTGTTTCATCGCAATTGTCGCTTATCTCCCACGCACCTTTTGACAGGTAAAACCCAGTCCGATCTCAATATCCAACTCACATTCATTTGGGAGGTTGTGATGGCAAGATCAAAGGAGACCAGAAAGAAGAAAACCATTGCGACTAGCACCAGTGGCATCGTGATTCTTACGATTTTGATGGGAAAGTGGGGAACTTTTCGCTGCAGTGAATGCACACATTCGCTGCAGCGAAAAGCCAAGCGCAGCTCAAAGGCCGGAACTGTAGCAGGGGAAATCAAAATCCTGACCTGGAGAGCGTGACAATCACGGCCTGGCCAGCCAGCTCAGTCGCAACGTTTGAACTGCAACGACCTGGCAGTCTTTGCAAGCCTGCAAACTGATGGCGAGACGGTGGCAAAGAAGACATTGTCCGACCTGGCAGCGGCAGTACAAGAGTCATGGTCAGCGTATCCAGCAGAGAGTATGACAGCTGTCTGGAGAGGGATGTGTGCCTGATTCAAAAACATTGTTGAAGCACACAGTGGTGACACACGGGTCACGCTGCCCACATTCCTCCAAGTGCCAAAGTAACAGCCACGACTGTTTCTTTCCCATCGCTGCCATACGCCAAGCGGAGAAAGCAAGAGATACTCTACGCCAGCAGCTATACACACCAGTGAATATCAGCTGGTGTGACATCAGCTCGAGTAATACAGAGCCAGAGTTGGATAAACTAAAGCGTGAGTGCAAGAACGCGCTCCGTCGCTGTTTTCTTTTGTACATTTTTTGTAACCTTGCTTCCTTTCTTCGGCTTGCTTCATCAGATTCCATTGCTGAATTTTTTTTCTTGTGGCGGACAGGAATCCTGTTTCATGCTTCTTCACTATGCGTATTGGAAATTTTACAGAGCGGTAAAAAAACTCCTGCTCTTAGTTGAGATAGATAAGCGACAATTGGGATGAAACGGACCAAGTATGTCAATGCAGCAACCTGTCACCATAGGCTGAGGCTCTGGAGCTCCGTCCCAGGACCAATGATGCGCAATGCACAGCGTTGGATGCTATATAGGCGTGCAAGATGGGAGGGAGCAGCTCCCATCCAGACGAGCGGAGCATACTCCAAAACGGGCCGTACAAACCCCTTGTACGTCGTGAGGCGGCCTTCTCGGGAGAGATAGGGCGCAGCTTGCCGCAGGAGGCCCAAACGCTGTTTGCCAAGTATAGACACTGCGCGGATGTGCTCCGCGAAGGACAGCTTCGGATCAAAAGTCACCCTCAAGAGCTTCATTGTGGATGACTCTGGCACAGGGTTGCCTCCAAAGAGGAGAGAGGGCAAGGCTAGCTGCGCTCTTTGCAGCGTGACTGTCATAGCCTGGCATTTCGACGGCTCAAACGTTACACGCCATTCCTGTAGTTGAGCCTAGAGCCCTCCGCATCACCAATAACACCTTAACAGTTCTGAGGGATTACCGTCACACCCTGGCTGCTGTCTACACATTCACACCTTCCATTTCTATATTCAATAGCAATCTGCACTTTCTGGCTAGGCTATGCTTTATATTGGCTAAGTCCCACTGAGCATGTAATAGTCGCCTGATGATTGCATTGAGCAAGAAACTCCGAGTTGCGACAAGTCTGTAAAACTCCATTGTGCCTTTTGTGTGTAATAGTGCTCCACATTATTGTGTCGAGCCCTCACCGCTGGCAGAAGGAAGTTTTCCTCCTTATACATACATAGATAGATAGATAGAGAGAGAGAGAAAGAGAGAGAAAGAAAGGGAAAGAGAGAGAGAGAGAGAGAGAGTGAGAGAGAGAGATAGCCGGCACTTCTTCATCCAAATCGATTCTCCATCGGAGGAACATGTTTCAGCTACCGGAGCCGGCGCCTCTGAAACTTATCGACGACATGCTCAAGGTCACCCACATGCGACGAACCTGGAGAGAAGAGATTTGATCGGTGATCTCCCGTTCTCGATCCACCTTTAGCATTGACCTTATACATTGCAGGTGAAATGACTCGAGCTTCCGTACGTCCCTCTGTCTCAGCCTCCAATTTTCTGAGCCATAGAGCAGGATGGCAAGAACCGTCATGCCATATACCACCCATTTTGCACCGATGTGGAAATCATCATTGCAGAAAATGGTCTCTTTCAAGCTGAAAACGCACCCTTTTCGAGCGTGCACGCGCGCGCGCACACACACACACACACACACACACACACATACACACACACTCGCATGTATGCTGCTAAGTGTACAAGCTGCTTACCGTCGCAGAGCGTTCCAGCATAACCTGGCTCGCACACGCACTTCAAGGAACCATGTAAGTTGACACATTCACCATGTTGGCAGTTGGCAATTTGTTCCCCACATTCATCATCATCCACTGAACATCAGAGTACACAAAAACAACGATAAGTGGGTGTCAAACACTGGGGGGGGGGGTCTGGTCTTCAAGATGCACTTGATCCAATCTAGATCAACGGACATTCAAGTTCACGTGCGCTTCATCAAGGTGACTCGGAATAACTACTGAACCATGATCCACGAGACCTGGCATTCTTCCATCATGAGGCCGTAAAATTCAAAAGCTGCACGCAAAACTTTAGCATTTGCTTTTGATCTGCAAGTTTGAGTGGAAACTAGGGCTGACAGGAAAATCCGGAATATTCGAACATTCGTTCGTTTAGCTTCCCAGAACAAACATTCGTGAGGTGATGAATACTTCAAAGTATTCGAAATGAACCTTTACAATGAAGAGCTCCCTGAACTTTTGCTTTCCTTGTTGTGGCTTCCAACACAAGGAATATACCGAGGATGTACCCAGTGTGCTGACAGTGCTCAACACCGCGGAGGCAGAGCGTAATACAACAAGGACAATCAAGGCTTGTTTGCTGCTACTTCAAGTTTCGTGCTCTCGCAATTGTTGGGTGAGGATTGCGAGAGCATGGAACTTGAAGTAGCAGCAAACAAGCCTTGATTGTCCTTGCTTTTCTGTGACAAGAAGTACTCATACCATGGCCAAACGATGAGTGATCTACATACTCACCTGCAAAACAAAAATTATTTGTTCGCTCTTTTGATATCATCAAGAAGGTACTACTCCTGAGAAATTGTGTTAGTTTCAGTTAGCGGAAACTACTTCTTTCGGTATGATTCTTTCCTTCTTTTCTACTCAAAAGAGTAGATGCCGTCTCTACCAGGTCGGAAGTGGTAGCGGCCGTTATAGGCCATTCACACGACGTGCAAACATTTGCACGCGTGTGATCAAGATAACACTGGCAAACCGTGATCCAGTTCACACGGTGCTGGGCAAACTTTGCAACCGTCAATGTATCCATAGTGACCCTTGAAAATGCCGGGAAATGTTAAATTTTGAATTTTACTTTGTTCAAGCACTGCATTTGCAATACACACTTTCAACAACCGACACTTTTCCTGGCGTGCAAAGATAATCGCGAGAAAAAGTGCCTCGGCCAAGATAAAAAATCAGTTGCACGAGTGGGTCCAAGTTTATCGTATCCGAGTAAATATCCTTGGAGACAGTACGATAAAAGTGAGTTTACACGTCATGTGAATGGCCTATTAGAAGTTGGTAGAGGTGCGGTGTTCAGCAATGTCAAGGAATTGTGCACAACTCCATAGAGAATAAAAAAACATATCACGTACATATCGTGATAACAGCATGCATGCTCTTACCTCTAATATCTACCTGTATCAGTGCATCGACTCTACTCTCCTCTACCAGGTAACGACTCTACTCTCCTCTACCAGGTAACGACTCTACTCTCCTCTACCAGGTAACGACTCTACTCTCCTCTACCAGGTAACGACTCTACTCTCCTCTACCAGGTAACAACTCTACTCTCCTCTAATAGGTAACGACTCTACTCTCCTCTACCAGGTAACGACTCTACTCTTCTCTACCAGGTAACGACTCTCCTCTACCAGGTAACGACTCTACTCTCCTCTACCAGGTAACAACTCTACTCTCCTCTAATAGGTAACGACTCTACTCTCCTCTACCAGGTAACGCCTCTACTCTCCCCTACCAGGTAACGACTCTACTCTCCTCTACCAGGTAACGACTCTACTCTCCTCTACCAGGTAACGACTCTACTCTCGTCTACCAGGTAACGACTCTACTCTCCTCTACCAGGTAACAACTCTACTCTCCTCTACCAGGTAACAACTTTACTCTCCTCTACCAGGTAACGACTCTACTCTCCTCTACCAGGTAACGACTCTACTCTCCTCTACCAGGTAACGACTCTCCTCTCCTCTACCAGGTAACGACTCTACTCTCCTCTACCAGGTAACAACTCTACTCTCCTCTACCAGGTAATGACTCTACTCTCCTCTAACAGGTAACGACTCTACTCTCTTCTCACAGGTAACGACTCTACTCTCCTCTACCAGGTAACGACTCTACTCTCCTCTACCAGGTAACGACCCTACTCTTCTCTACCAGGTAACAACTCTCCTCTACCAGGTAACGACTCTACTCTCCTCTACCAGGTAACGACTCTACTCTCCTCTACCAGGTAACGACCCTACTCTTCTCTACCAGGTAACAACTCTACTCTCCCCTACCAGGTAAAGACTCTACTCTCCTCTAACAGGTAACAACTTTACTCTCCTTCCACAGGTAACAACTCTACTCTCCTGTAACAGGTAACGACTCTACTCTCCACTAAAAGGTAACGACTCTACTCTCCCCTACCAGGTAATGACTCTACTCTCCTCTAACAGGTAACGACTCTACTCTCCTCTACCAGGTAACAACTCTACTCTCCTCTAACAGGTAACGACTCTACTCTCCTCTAACAGGTGACAACTTTACTCTCCTCTCACAGGTAACAACTCTACTCTCCTGTAACAGGTAACGACTCTACTCTCCACTAAAAGGTAACGACTCTACTCTCCCCTGACAACTTTACTCTCCTCTCACAGGTAACGATTCTACTCTCCTCTACCAGGTAACGACCCTACTCTCCTCTACCAGGTAACGACCCTACTCTCCTCTAACAGGTAATGACTCTACTCTCCTCTACCAGGTAACGACTCTACTCTCCTCTACCAGGTAACGACTCTACTCTCCTCTACCAGGTAACGACCCTACTCTCCTCTAACAGGTAATGACTCTACTCTCCTCTACCAGGTAACGACTCTACTCTCGTCTACCAGGTAACAACTCTACTCTCCTCTACCAGGTAACGACTCTACCGTAGTCTCCTCTGCCAGGTGACAACTTTACTCTCCTCTCACAGGTAACGACTCTACTCTCCTCTACCAGGTAACGACTCTACTCTCCTCTACCAGGTAACGACCCTACTCTCCTCTAACAGGTAACGACTCTACTCTCGTCTACCAGGTAACGACTCTACTCTCCTCTGACAGGTGACGACTCTACTCTCCTCTACCAGGTAACGACTCTACTCTCCCCTACCAGGTAACAACTCTACTCTCCTCTAATAGGTAACGACTCTACTCTCCTCTACCAGGTAACGACTCTACTCTCCTCTACCAGGTAACGACTCTACTCTCCTCTACCAGGTAACAACTCTACTCTCCTCTAACAGGTACAGTGTGGCTAACAGCAGACACAGCCTAGAGCAGGTTGGCGCATATGGCGGACTCACTAAAGCATTCTTGCTACTTCCTCCGTTAACAACAACTTCATGATGAATTTTTGAGGGGCTGGTTTGCGCACAAGCTGCCGTGAAATGAGTCGCAATCACTTTCTTGGCCTTCCCTGGCATGCCATGAAAGAGGTACGATTCAAGGAAAGTGGTCTTTCACAAAAAGCCGATCGGAATCAATGGTTGCGCTGTGGAAACATAGGTGACAGTCATGGCGGGCGAAACTGAAATACCACTTCTCCGAATGAATATTGCACTGCTTCGCCTCTCCACTACTCTAGCACTGAGTAAGTTGAAGAGGGATAGAGAGCGATGAAACGGAACAGTGAGCCCACACAATGAGCGAGTGAACAAGGAGCTGCTCCGATCGCACGGCTCAATGAAAATAACTCTGAACTCAAGTTCTTGTTCAACCTGCGCAAAGCCAAGATTCGAATGCTGATGACCATGCATTCTTTCAGAAGTCTGCAGTCCGATCCGAGTTTCATGGCTGAAGAAAGGCGACTGGACTTGCTAGCCGCTGCCGGTCAGTGCTGCCAGGGGTATCCATCAGAGAAAATGTAATCAGTTTGGCTGTGCCTTTACTCCTCGTTTCGCGGAGTTCTGGAGAGCGAAGATGAACCAGGGAGTCATAACATATTTTTACGACTCCCTGGTGGAAATGAGTAATTGCCATCGCGGCGGATCACTCAGCTTGAAAGCCAACTTACTTGAACGACGGCAACATCAAGGTTAGCGGAGTGTGATAAAAAAAGCCGAGGCAAGGCTGAAACAAGCTGACCAACGACTCGAGAGATGACCGACTCGCGTGCAGCAGATGATGACAGCGACGCAGGGTCAAAACTGAGTCGAGCGAAAGCGACGCAAACTGAACTCTCTGATCATTTCGCCAACAGTTTATCTTGTGAAGACGCTGTATATAGGCTGAGTCACATTCGTCCAGTGATTTGCAGTCGATACAAACTGTTCTTGACCTGTTCTAAGCGTTTTCATATCCATCAAAATCCATCACGAAGTTTTTGTTAACGGAGGATGTAGTAGATAGTCTTTTGATTAGACCGGGAACATCATGTGTACAGGTACATGCTGTTGCAGTGGGGAACAACATTTCCACGGGGTGCAAGTCAGGTTACAAACCTACAAATTGAGTTCCCATGCAAAATTTAGTGCTCGTAGAAATTGGTGACCTCCGCCATGCCTGGGGCCACCACGAGAACAAACACTCGCGCGACTGCCCTGAGTGATGAAGAGCTGAGGCTGATGGCGTCGTTGCCGGGCATTGAGGTATCTGTAGTAGAAATCCTGAAAACACTGGCCGCATTTGTCTCGGAATCGGCTGATCGGGAGACGCGCCTAAACAAACGGGTTGACGAGCTGTCAAGGCAGCTCAAAGATGTGAATGAAGAGTTAGTGTCTCTCCGAGAATCCGCCATTGCCTTGCGAAAAGCTACCCCAAGGCCAGTTCAAACACAGCAGGGTACGGGTGCGGATCAACCTTCGCGTAGGCGTACCAAAGCAGGCAGTGCGGGTACAGGTACATGTACTCGAAAGCATGACACCACGATGTGCCGTAGCGTCCCCAGCAACATTTCCCGTAGCGGTGACGAGTGTGAAGAGGATGGCAGCGTCCCCTGCAACATCTCCCTTAGCAGTGACGAGTGTGAAGGGGATGGCGACCAAGATGCCATCCCCACCAAGTCCCAGACAGATGTGACAGAATCCAAGCCAATCTTCCATGTTATTG